GACCAAAGCTACATCTAGCCCACTCTCAACCTGCAACAGCAGCTCTAAAGCAAGAGCTTTAGAGACTGAGACATGTGTAAAGCATACTTGCCTCAAACAGCCTCCCGGCCTTCAGATGGCTTCAGCTCAGAAAATAACTTTTGTTGCATTGGTTTCTGTGTACTTACTGGCTCTCCCCAGCTTTTTCTTCCCTGAACTTGCCCACTGCCTCTTTTCAAATAAACTCTTGGCATGACAGTCTCACAGCACAGTAGAGAGCTGCAGAGCTCAATTAACTGTTAAGTGAAAAATCACCTTCTTTTGCTTACTTGGAATGTGCACTCTCATAATTTCAAAAGTTATCTTGTTATTAAAATGAAAGAAAGCAAACACTCAATTCCCAACTACCCTTTCCATATCACAAATGAGTTTACAGCACATCCTCTCTTCAACTGTCTCTTCCAAATGAAAAAGCCCTGGTTTACTTAATCATTCCCTATATGGTAACTAGTGATACCTTTAATCATTGCTGCTGCCCTCTTTCAAGATTTCCTATTTCTGCTCTGCTATTTTTTAATTTTGTTTTAAAGGGAGGGCAAGATGTGGGAAAACTATGAGCTTATACTGTAATTCAACAATGTCCTCTCTTGTTAGTCTCCATTGTTTTCCTCATAGTTCTTAACAACAGATTTGCTTTTTGGTTATTTGTGATTTCTGAAATGACACTTTGTAACCTCTAGATCTCACTCAGACTGTTTCCAAACAGCTCAGAGCCCTCTGTTTCACATGTGGAATTAGTCAGGATTTTCCCCCACACATATCATTTTATGTTTATCAGCACTTGATTATAATTCTGGGTTTATTGCCCACCTAATCTTTTAAGATCCTTCTGCAGTTCTGCAGTTGCTCCTTAGTTTTGCTATTCTGAATAATTCCATGACATCAGTACACTTTGTCATCTCACTGCTTATCTCTTTTTCCAGGACTTTTAGAATATGAAGAAAAGCAGAGTCTAAATGGGTTTTCTGGATAACTGTTTGGACGATCTTTCCTCACAATGATCATTCACTCCTATTATCTATTTCTTATCTTTGAACCACTCACCAAAATAAAAATATTTTACTTAAGGTATTATTGCTTAGGTCCCTTAAAAGCCCTTGATAAAGATTTGATAAGGAACTTTTTGAAATCTAAGCAACCAGATCACTCCTTTCTGTCTGTTAACACCTTTCGGAACTCCAGTAGATGAGTGAGACTGGACATCCCTTTGTAAGAGGCACACTGACTCTTCCCAAGAATATAATACTCCGGTACCCACTAAAACATTTATTTATTATAGTTTCTATTACTCTGTTGACAGAAGCTTTCAGACTTCCCCTTCAAATCTCTACTAGAATAGTATTTTAAAAAGAAGTTATTTGGTACTTTCCAGTCCACTTTTTTTGCTATGGTCTTGTATTTCTGAGGTACTAATTTTATACTGGGATCAGACTCTCTGCTCTGGCATCCACTTTTGCTACATCTGAAGAAAGATTTCTTTTTTCTATTATTTGTAGAAATACAATTACATGGCCAACACAGCAGTTTTTCATTGGCACACCTGTTATAAAAGACGTTCTGAAGAAAAGGAATTTAAGAAAAACTAGAATTATGTGATAAGGTTCCCAAACAGCAGGAAACACAGAAAAATGTTTGGCATAATTTTTTTTCTGAATTCTTACATGCACTTCTGTTGAAGGTTAAACTTTTAGAACAATGTAATAATATTATGCTTAGATGTTCTCTGTATATGTAAAAGCCAAAGGCATCGCTAATCAGAACAAGTAGGTAGCTGCCTTCGAGCAAGGATATCCTGGAGCTACCAGACCTTGCAGAGGGCACATTGCCAACTTGGCAAGCAAACTCAAGGTCCACGTACCCTTAGCTGAACTACCCTCATTATAATACTAAAAATCACACCTATAGGTCAAGAAGACCCTTTCCCTGAGCATGCACAGAAGAATTATGTCAGCAGTATTATAATTGTATGTAAATTACTAACCAGTCATCATAGAGAGGATGGACTTGGAAAATTACTAACTCTGCAAGTTTTGTGTATAAATCTAGCATGAAAAGTCCTGTTAGTGTGCTTGATTTGTGGAAACCACCGAGCAGGTAGGCTTGAACAACCCTAAAATAAATGAGCAATGTCTCTTCTGAGTGTGTGTGATTATTGACCTATCGCACACCGGGCGACGAATCCGCTTTTCGGACAACACTTATTCTACCATATGCTCAATGAATGCAATGCACGGACCTGCAATCACAGCTTAGAGATAACACTGGAAAAAAGTTAATTAAAAGGGCTCCTGAGAATATCCCGGTCTTTCTCTGGAGAAAAATGAGCCAGTGTTTATGGCTTTCAAGCATAAACAGCTATTGAAGTGACAGGGAATTTAAGAATTTCACTGGGAAGAGGACAGAGAGACTGTCTTTATGCATCACACTTGAACCACGGAATTTATGTGGATGGATTCTTCGAAAAAATGACATTTTGGAGGTGAGAGCAGTAACTACCACTTTTAGTAAAATGAATGCTTTTAGAATGGAATGAAAGTACTCATGCAAGAAATAAAACTGCCACTTTATTAATATAGCAATGCCTCAAATTATTACCATTACTCTGAAAACTTTAAGAACTTTTCCGTTAATGAGTTAAAGATGGAATTGGAAGAATTCATCCTAAGGAGAACATAGCGGAGCAGATATGAAATTCCAGGGGAATGGAAATATCACCACTATTTAATAATTATCTAAACACAAAGCTCCCTATGTCTTGAAAAACACCACCACTGGCCCATAATTTGCTTCTTCAGCTCTAATGCTGCAGACTGTCTCAGCTGGTGGAAATACTTTTCTTGAGCACAATACATAAAGTATACCTACAGGGAGGGACGGAACACAAACACTTGCTCTTTTGAAATGTGCAAAGTAGATATTGGTAAAAGATAATAACCTCTTTCTGGATTACACTAACAAAAGTATAATTTTTTTAAGGCTGTTAGAATGAGAACTTTTTTTTTTTCATAGATTTGTAAAAATATACGTGAAAAAGAAACCGATTTATAGGTGAGTCTCTTTCTCCCCCCAAAAAAAAACCCCAAACCAGGCTGAGACCCAAGGTGCCGTTCGGCTGCACGCCGGCCGCCGGAGGAGCGGCCCCGGCTAGGCAGGCAGCATCCCGCTCGTCATTCCAAAGAGAAGCAGTTCGGGGCGTTTCGAAAGCTGGCTGTTAACTT